TTCTCCCCTACTGTCAAAGTAGTGTCAGGTTCTCCCCTACTGTCAAAGTAGTGTCCGGTTCTCCCCCTACTGTCAGGTTCTCCCCCTACTGTCAAAGTAGTGTCAGGTTCTCCCCTACTGTCAAAGTAGTGTCAGGTTCAACCCTACTGTCAAAGTAGTGTCAGGTTCTCCCCCTACTGTCAAAGTAGTGTCAGGTTCTCCCCCTACTGTCAAAGTAGTGTCAGGTTCTCCCCCTGCTGTCAGGTTCTCCCCTACTGTCAGGTTCTCCCCTACTGTCAAAGTAGTGTCAGGTTCTCCCCTACTGTCAAAGTACTGTCAGGTTCTCCCCTACTGTCAAAGTAGTGTCAGGTTCTCCCCTACTGTCAAAGTAGTGTCCGGTTCTCCCCCTACTGTCAAAGTAGTGTCAGGTTCTCCCCCTACTGTCAAAGTAGTGTCAGGTTCTCCCCCTGCTGTCAGGTTCTCCCCTACTGTCAGGTTCTCCTCTACTGTCAAAGTAGTGTCAGGTTCTCCCCTACTGTCAAAGTACTGTCAGGTTCTCCCCTACTGTCAAAGTAGTGTCAGGTTCTCCCCTACTGTCAAAGTAGTGTCCGGTTCTCCCCCTACTGTCAGGTTCTCCCCTACTGTCAAAGTAGTGTCAGGTTCACCCCTACTGTCAAAGTAGTGTCCGGTTCTCCCCCTACTGTCAGGTTCTCCCCCTACTGTCAAAGTAGTGTCAGGTTCTCCCCTACTGTCAAAGTAGTGTCAGGTTCAACCCTACTGTCAAAGTAGTTTCAGGTTCTCCCCCTACTGTCAAAGTAGTGTCAGGTTCTCCCCCTACTGTCAAAGTAGTGTCAGGTTCTCCCCTACTGTCAAAGTACTGTCAGGTTCTCCCCTACTGTCAAAGTAGTGTCAGGTTCTTCACTGACCATATCAACACAGACCACAGGAACCGAATATTATTAGAAGAAATGTTGTACTGCACAATCTTAGGGTTGGGAATGGGATGTCCCATTGCAATGTCCCAATGCAAATTGCAAATTAATTACTTAAAATTAATTACTTAAAAATCATACAATGTGATTTTCTGGATTTTTGTTTTTTTAGATTCCGTCTCTCACAGTTGAAGTGTACCTATGATAAAAATGACAGACATCTACATGCTTTGTAAGTAGGAAAACCTGCAAAATCGGCAGTGTATCAAATACTTGTTCTCCCCACTGTAGATATGGAATAGGCTGCCATTTCTGACACAGGCTCTGTCTTTTTACTTTGTTTAAAGAAAGAAGAGGAATAGTTGCAATAACTTTCTTTTTTTAAACTTTTTGTTTGAAATGCTTAGTAGATGTGATCCCTGGAGCCCCCATGTTAAAGGAAAGCACTGTCCCACAGTCTGACAGCTGCAGTGCAAAGTAGAAACTACAGACGTCAAGGGCAGATTAGATTTTCCACTGTGCTCACACATTCCTGCTCAGCTTTCTGCCCAGTGAGAGGAAAAGGGACATTTTACCGTGACTTGACTCCTGCACTTGAAGGTTGACTCCTGCACTTGGGTTCAAAGCTAAATCTTAATTTCACATAATATAACTTAAAAGTATGCATCAAGGTGTCTGTAACAGAATATAACTTTGAAAAATATAATGTAGACAAACAAAATGCATTTCTATAGCTTCCAAAAATCTTTTTTACAATGGAGTACAAAAATGGCTGCGCAGTGTCTTCAAAACAGCGCCCCCTGTCAGTCATCCAGGGTTTATACACATAATAGGTCTCAACACGCCATCTGTTTTGTAGATCCAGCTGCATGTCGCAATCCAGAATTGGCCTATAGAGTTACCGCTATGAGGACACGTATGCCTGTTGTTCAAAGAATGCTGGATGGTTCTGGACCAGTACAAATTGGATTGAATTAGCAGATCAGAAGGAGTTTTATAGAGGTTTGGCTGTAAGGCTTTGATATAGGAGAAGATAAACAGCAGCTGGGAGGGTTTTATAATAACTGTGTAGCATTACGATGGCTGGGTGTTATGCGCTGTAGCATTACGATGGCTGGGTGTTATGCGCTGTAGCATTACGATGGCTGGGTGTTATGCGCTGTAGCATTACGATGGCTGGGTGTTATGCGCTGTAGCATTACGATGGCTGGGTGTTATGCACTGTAGCATTACGATGGCTGGGTGTTATGCGCTGTAGCATTACGATGGCTGGGTGTTATGCGCTGTAGCATTACGATGGCTGGGTGTTATGCGCTGTAGCATTACGATGGCTGGGTGTTATGCGCTGTAGCATTACGATGGCTGGGTGTTATGCGCTGTAGCATTACGATGGCTGGGTGTTATGCGCTGTAGCATTACGATGGCTGGGTGTTATGCACTGTAGCATTACGATGGCTGGGTGTTATGCGCTGTAGCATTACGATGGCTGGGTGTTATGCGCTGTAGCATTACGATGGCTGGGTGTTATGCACTGTAGCATTACGATGGCTGGGTGTTATGCGCTGTAGCATTACGATGGCTGGGTGTTATGCGCTGTAGCATTACGATGGCTGGGTGTTATGCACTGTAGCATTACGATGGCTGGGTGTTATGCACTGTAGCATTAGTTTTATTTTTTATTTATTTCACCTTTATTTAACCAGGTAAGCCAGTTGAGAACAAGTTCTCATTTACAACTGCGACCTGGCCAAGATAAAGCAAAGCAGTGCGATAAAAACAACAACACAGAGTTACATATTGAATAAACAAAACGTTCAGTCAATAACACAATAGAAAATCTACATACAGTGTGTGCACATGTAGTAGGTTATGGAGGTAAGGCAATAAATAGGCCATAGTGCAAAAATAATTACAATGTAGTATTAAGATACTCTACACATCTACAGCTTAAGGACTTAGTTATTTGTCTTCAAAGTGCATCTTCAAAGCAACCTGACACTCAGCCAGTCCAGCCAGAGGATGGTGTTTGTTGTTGCTTTGTTATTTGGCTGTACTCCACTCCCTCCCATATGTCCTTTCCACTCTTTTAGCTACTGTATACGTGTGATATATTTACCTCCTGTTGTGTACAGCTAAGTATCACTGGCAATACTTTAGTTAGTTGTGTGTAGATAGTCTGTAGATGCTTACACTATTTATACAAAGTGTTTGAGTCAGTAAGCTATGAACCCAGGAAGATACGTCCTAATGGACTAACCATTAGAACTAGGAAGATACGCCCTAATGGACTAACCATTAGAACTAGGAAGATACGTCCTAATGGACTAACCATTAGAACTAGGAAGATACGCCCTAATGGACTAACCATTAGAACTAGGAAGATACGCCCTAATGGACTAACCATTAGAACTAGGAAGATACGCCCTAATGGACTAACCATTAGAACTAGGAAGATACGCCCTAATGGACTAACCATTAGAACTAGGACGATACGCCCTAATGGACTAACCATTAGAACTAGGAAGATACGTCCTAATGGACTAACCATTAGAACTAGGAAGATACGCCCTAATGGACTAACCATTAGAACTAGGAAGATACGCCCTAATGGACTAACCATTAGAACTAGGACGATACGCCCTAATGGACTAACCATTAGAACTAGGACGATACGCCCTAATGGACTAACCATTAGAACTAGGAAGATACGTCCTAATGGACTAACCATTAGAACTAGGAAGATACGCCCTAATGGACTAACCATTAGAACTAGGAAGATACGTCCTAATGGACTAACCATTAGAACTAGGAAGATACGCCCTAATGGACTAACCATTAGAACTAGGACGATACGCCCTAATGGACTAACAATTAGAACTAGGAAGATACGCCCTAATGGACTAACCATTAGAACTAGGAAGATACGTCCTAATGGACTAACCATTAGAACTAGGAAGATACGCCCTAATGGACTAACCATTAGAACTAGGAAGATACGTCCTAATGGACTAACCATTAGAACTAGGAAGATACGCCCTAATGGACTAACCATTAGAACTAGGAAGATACGCCCTAATGGACTAACCATTAGAACTAGGAAGATACGTCCTAATGGACTAACCATTAGAACTAGGAAGATACGCCCTAATGGACTAACCATTAGAACTAGGAAGATACGCCCTAATGGACTAACCATTAGAACTAGGAAGATACGTCCTAATGGACTAACCATTAGAACTAGGAAGATACGCCCTAATGGACTAACCATTAGAACTAGGAAGATACGCCCTAATGGACTAACCATTAGAACTAGGAAGATACGCCGTAATGGACTAACCATTAGAACTAGGAAGATACGCCCTAATGGACTAACCATTAGAACTAGGAAGATACGCCCTAATGGACTAACCATTAGAACTAGGAAGATACATCCTAATGGACTAACCATTAGAACTAGGAAGATACGCCCTAATGGACTAACCATTAGAACTAGAAAGATACGTCCTAATGGACTAACCATTAGAACTAGGAAGATACGCCCTAATGGACTAACCATTAGAACTAGGAAGATACGCCCTAATGGACTAACCATTAGAACTAGGAAGATACGCCCTAATGGACTAACCATTAGAACTAGGAATAATAATAATAATATGCCATTTAGCAGACGCTTTTATCCAAAGCGACTTACAGTCAATTGTGCATACATTTTTACGTATGGGTGGTCCCGGGGATCGAACCCACTACCCTGGCGTTACAAGCGCCATGCTCTACCAATTGAGCTACAGAAGACCACAGAAGATACGCCCTAATGGACTAACCATTAGAACTAGGAAGATACGCCCTAATGGACTAACCATTAGAACTAGGAAGATACGTCCTAATGGACTAACCATTAGAACTAGGAAGATACGCCCTAATGGACTAACCATTAGAACTAGGAAGATACGCCCTAATGGACTAACCATTAGAACTAGGAAGATACGCCCTAATGGACTAACCATTAGAACTAGGAAGATACGTCCTAATGGACTAACCATTAGAACTAGGAAGATACGCCCTAATGGACTAACCATTAGAACTAGGAAGATGCGCCCTAATGGACTAACCATTAGAACTAGGAAGATACGCCCTAATGGACTAACCATTAGAACTAGGAAGATACGCCCTAATGGACTAACCATTAGAACTAGGAAGATACGCCCTAATGGACTAACCATTAGAACTAGGAAGATACGCCCTAATGGACTAACCATTAGAACTAGGAAGATACGTCCTAATGGACTAACCATTAGAACTAGGAAGATACGCCCTAATGGACTAACCATTAGAACTAGGAAGATACGCCCTAATGGACTAACCATTAGAACTAGGAAGATACGCCCTAATGGACTAACCATTAGAACTAGGAAGATACGCCCTAATGGACTAACCAAGAGGAGATGTCCTCTTGGACCGAGGGTGACACTGATTTTAAGTAGCAGACAGGACTACATCATAACGTGAGCGTGAGTCCAACTCACCACCTCTACAATTGGAAGAGACAGCATTTATTTGACCTCTTCCTCTACAATGGAAAGAGACAGCATTTATTTGACCTCCTCCCTGAATGAAGTTTAAAGAGTGGAGCAGCATATTACTTTGACTGTTTTAGCTAATACCTTTGCTCCGAAGAGAGAGTTTGTGTTCCTTGACCTCTAACCCCTCCTAGAGTTCCTGCTTCTGGAGAATGTGGTCCACCACTTCAGCTACCCGTGCATCCTGGACCTGAAGATGGGCACACGGCAGCACGGGGACGATGCCTCGGAGGAGAAGGCTGCCAGGCAGATGAAGAAGTGTGAACAGAGCACCTCCGCCACCCTGGGGGTGCGTGTCTGTGGGATGCAGGTGAGGGCTGGTCCTACTTCTTGTTTCTTTAACATTTGTTAATATTCATGTTTTTCCAACTAAATGCTTTTAGACAGCTGGTAGCAAGCACCCACATTTTGTTCAGGAAACTGACCTTTTGTTCAACTTGATTTCACATGGAAAGTCCCATTTGAGATTAGGAGACCTCTTATGCAAGAGGGATACCAACCCAAGAAGAACTGTCAAGGAACATTCATGCTTCCGTAGCATTAAATGGATGGATTATGCTTGAAATATGCAGTATTTCTAATAGCTTTCTTGACTTGTCTATTCTGGAGCTTGATGGAAGGATCAGATTGGAGAAGGATGCTGATGTTGTCTTGTCTCAGGACAGTAGCTGCTACTACGCCATAGATTCTTTACTTGCGTCTCTATCTTTCTTCTGTTTCTCCTAACACCTGGGCTCAGACAAAAAGCCCACAGCAGTAACCGGAGCAGGACAGAAGGGAGGATACTGAATATCCTATCAATTTACAAATAACAAACAACTGGGATACAATAGATACTTCATTGTCCATTCGGTTGGAACTAAAATTCACCTTCCGCCTTTATCCCAGACACACACACACACACACACGCACGTTTAGAAACAAAATATGAATTACAGAGGGACCGATGGCGTGACTGTCTGTCTGTTTACAATGTAGAGCCTATAACAGCAGAACAGATGAGACAGACAATAGCCACAGCATTAATCCTCCATCCAGCTTCAAAAGGCCTTCTCTCCTCCTCCATTTATTCTGTGATAAATCAGATAGATGACTGCCCCACATTCTAATCTCTTTTATTTCCCCTCTCTGTTATCTGTCTGTTTTAATGGTAGGAGGTCTAACCTCTCTGTTTTAATGGTAGGGAGGTCTAACCTCTCTGTTTTAATGGCAGGAGGTCTAACCTCTCTGTGTTAATGGTAGGAGGTCTAACCTCTCTGTTTTAATGGTAGGAGGTCTAACCTCTCTGTGTTAATGGTAGGAGGTCTAACCTCTCTGTTTTAATGGTAGGAGGTCTAACCTCTCTGTTTTAATGGTAGGAGGTCTAACATCTCTGTTTTAATGGTAGGAGGTCTAACCTCTCTGTTTTAATGGTAGGAGGTCTAACCTCTCTGTTTTAATGGTAGGAGGTCTAACCTCTCTGTTTTAATGGTAGGAGGTCTAACCTCTCTGTTTTAATGGTAGGAGGTCTAACCTCTCTGTTTTAATGGTAGGAGGTCTAACCTCTCTGTTTTAATGGTAGAGGTCTAACCTCTATGTTTTAATGGTAGGAGGTCTAACCTCTCTGTGTTAATGGTAGGAGGTCTAACCTCTATGTTTTAATGGTAGGAGGTCTAACCTCTATGTTTTAATGGTAGGAGGTCTAACCTCTATGTTTTAATGGTAGGAGGTCTAACCTCTCTGTTTTAATGGTAGGAGGTCTAACCTCTCTGTTTTAATGGTAGGAGGTCTAACCTCTATGTTTTAATGGTAGGAGGTCTAACCTCTCTGTTTTAATGGTAGAGGGCTAACCTCTCTGTGTTAATGGTAGGAGGTCTAACCTCTCTGTGTTAATGGTAGGAGGTCTAACCTCTCTGTTTTAATGGTAGGAGGTCTAACCTCTCTGTGTTAATGGTAGGAGGTCTAACCTCTCTGTTTTAATGGTAGGAGGTCTAACCTCTCTGTTTTAATGGTAGGAGGTCTAACATCTCTGTTTTAATGGTAGGAGGTCTAACCTCTCTGTTTTAATGGTAGGAGGTCTAACCTCTCTGTTTTAATGGTAGGAGCTCTAACCTCTCTGTTTTAATGGTAGGAGGTCTAACCTCTCTGTGTTAATGGTAGGAGGTCTAACCTCTCTGTGTTAATGGTAGAGGTCTAACCTCTCTGTGTTAATGGTAGGAGGTCTAACCTCTCTGTTTTAATGGTAGGAGGTCGAACCTCTCTGTTTTAATGGTAGGAGGTCTAACCTCTCTGTGTTAATGGTAGGAGGTCTAACCTCTCTGTGTTAATGGTAGGAGGTCGAACCTCTCTGTGTTAATGGTAGAGGTCTAACCTCTCTGTTTTAATGGTAGAGGTCTAACCTCTCTGTTTTAATGGTAGGAGGTCTAACCTCTCTGTGTTAATGGTAGGAGGTCTAACCTCTCTGTTTTAATGGTAGGAGGTCTAACCTCTCTGTTTTAATGGTAGGAGGTCTAACCTCTCTGTTTTAATGGTAGGAGGTCTAACCTCTCTGTGTTAATGGTAGGAGGTCTAACCTCTCTGTTTAATGGTAGGAGGTCTAACCTCTCTGTTTTAATGGTAGGAGGTCTAACCTATCTGTGTTAATGGTAGGAGGTCTAACCTCTCTGTTTTAATGGTAGGAGGTCTAACCTCTCTGTTTTAATGGTAGGAGGTCTAACCTCTCTGTGTTAATGGTAGGAGGTCTAACCTCTCTGTGTTAATGGTAGGAGGTCTAACCTCTCTGTTTTAATGGTAGGAGGTCTAACCTCTCTGTTTTAATGGTAGGAGGTCTAACCTCTCTGTTTTAATGGTAGGAGGTCTAACCTCTCTGTGTTAATGGTAGGAGGTCTAACCTCTCTGTGTTAATGGTAGGAGGTCTAACCTCTCTGTTTTAATGGTAGGAGGTCTAACCTCTCTGTGTTAATGGTAGAGGTCTAACCTCTCTGTTTTAATGGTAGGAGGTCTAACCTCTCTGTTTTAATGGTAGGAGGTCTAACCTCTCTGTTTTAATGGTAGGAGGTCTAACCTCTCTGTGTTAATGGTAGGAGGTCTAACCTCTCTGTTTTAATGGTAGGAGGTCTAACCTCTCTGTTTTAATGGTAGGAGGTCTAACCTCTCTGTGTTAATGGTAGGAGGTCTAACCTCTCTGTTTTAATGGTAGGAGGTCTAACCTCTCTGTTTTATGGTAGGAGGTCTAAGCTCCGTGTCTTGGTCAAAAGTTTTGAGAATGACACAAGTATTGGTTTTCACAAAGTTTGCTGCTTCAGTGTTTTTAGATATTTTTGTCAGATGTTACTATGGTATACTGAAGTATAATTACAATCATTTAATCCTACTCTGATGCATTCAGCCTACAACAAAATCGCCCGCGCACACGCACAGTTTAGAGGGAGCATTGGTCCAGGTGTTCTCTCTGTTCTCTCTGTGGTTCTACTGTCCAGGTGTGATCTCTGTGGTTCTATGGTCCAGGTGTGATCTCTGTGGTTCTATGGTCCAGGTGTGATCTCTGTGGTTCTATGGTCCAGGTGTGATCTCTGTGGTTCTATGGTCCAGGTGTAACCTCTGTTCTCCCTGTGGTTCTATGGTCCAGGTGTAATCTCTGTGGTTCTATGGTCCAGGTGTGATCTCTGTGGTTCTATGGTCCAGGTGTGATCTCTGTGGTTCTATGGTCCAGGTGTGATCTATGTGGTTCTATGGTCCAGGTGTGATCTCTGTGGTTCTATGCTTCCAGGTGTAACCTCTGTTCTCTCTGTGGTTCTATGCTTCCAGGTGTAACCTCCGTTCTCTCTGTGGTTCTATGCTTCCAGGTGTAACCTCTGTTCTCTCTGTGGTTCTATGCTTCCAGGTGTAACCTCTGTTCTCTCTGTGGTTCTATGCTTCCAGGTGTAACCTCTGTTCTCTCTGTGGTTCTATGCTTCCAGGTGTAACCTCTGTTCTCTCTGTGGTTCTATGCTTCCAGGTGTAACCTCTGTTTCTCTGTGGTTCTATGCTTCCAGGTGTAATCCTCTTCTGTGGTTCTATGCTCCAGGTGTAACCTGGTCTCTCTGTGGTTCTATGCTTCCAGGTGTAACCTCTGTTCTCTCTGTGGTTCTATGCTTCCAGGTGTAACCTCTGTTCTCTCTGTGGTTCTATGCTTCCAGGTGTAACCTCTGTTCTCTCTGTGGTTCTATGCTTCCAGGGTGTAACCTCTGTTCTCTCTGTGGTTCTATGCTTCCAGGTGTAACCTCTGTTCTCTCTGTGGGTCTATGCTTCCAGGTGTAACCTATTTTCCTCTGTGGTTCTATGCTTCCAGGTGTAACCTCTGTTCTCTCTGTGGTTCTATGCTTCCAGGTGTAACCTCTTTTCTCTGTGGTTCTATGCTTCCAGGTGTAACCTCTGTTCTCTCTGTGGTTCTATGCTTCCAGGTGTAACCTCTTTTCTCTGTGGTTCTATGCTTCCAGGTGTAACCTCTGTTCTCTCTGTGGTTCTATGCTTCCAGGTGTAACCTCTGTTCTCTCTGTGGGTCTATGCTTCCAGGTGTAACCTCTTTTCTCTGTGGTTCTATGCTTCCAGGTGTAACCTCTGTTCTCTCTGTGGTTCTATGCTTCCAGGTGTAACCTCTGTTCTCTCTGTGGTTCTATGCTTCCAGGTGTAACCTCTGTTCTCTCTGTGGTTCTATGCTTCCAGGTGTAACCTCTGTTCTCTCTGTGGTTCTATGCTTCCAGGTGTAACCTCTGTTCTCTCTGTGGGTCTATGCTTCCAGGTGTAACCTATTTTCTCTGTGGTTCTATGCTTCCAGGTGTAACCTCTGTTCTCTCTGTGGTTCTATGCTTCCAGGTGTAACCTCTTTTCTCTGTGGTTCTATGCTTCCAGGTGTAACCTCTGTTCTCTCTGTGGTTCTATGCTTCCAGGTGTAACCTCTTTTCTCTGTGGTTCTATGCTTCCAGGTGTAACCTCTGTTCTCTCTGTGGTTCTATGCTTCCAGGTGTAACCTCTGTTCTCTCTGTGGGTCTATGCTTCCAGGTGTAACCTCTTTTCTCTGTGGTTCTATGCTTCCAGGTGTAACCTCTGTTCTCTCTGTGGTTCTATGCTTCCAGGTGTAACCTCTGTTCTCTCTGTGGTTCTATGCTTCCAGGTGTAACCTCTTTTCTCTGTGGTTCTATGCTTCCAGGTGTACCAGATGGACACGGGCCACTATCTGTGCAGGAATAAGTACTACGGCCGCAGCCTGTCCATCGAGGGCTTCCGTCACGCTCTCCACCAGTTCATGCACAACGGGGCGTCGCTCAGGAAGGACCTGTTTGAGCCCATGCTGTGTAAGCTACGCAGCCTGAAGGCCGTTCTGGAGAGACAGACCACCTACCGTTTCTACTCCTCCTCCCTGCTCATCATCTATGAGGGGAAGGAGCCTGAGATGGCCCACGCCTGGCAGAAAGCATCACCGCCTGCACCACAGCCAGCCGCTGAGATGCCCTCAGAGAAGGAGGAGGCAGTGGCCGTCAACCCAGGAGTAGGAATGGGTGTCCAGGGACCGGGGTTAATAGTGGGGCTCCAAGGAGTCCAGGGACCGACCGAAGTACCGAAGCTCCAGCTCCTCCCACCACACTGTCCCCCCACCCCTGTCTCAACCCCCACCCCTCCACAGCCACAGCAGCCTCCCCAGGCCCTTTGTCTCCCGCCCTCAGACCCTCACGGCCCCACTCCTCCTCCACCCCGAACCTCCGGCCCTAGCGTCAGTGTGGACGTCCGCATGATAGACTTCGCCCACAGCACCTTCAAAGGTTTCCGCGACGACCAGACAGTGCACGACGGGCCGGATCGGGGCTACGTGTTTGGACTGGAGAGCCTCATCAAGATCCTGGAGGGCCTCAGGGAGGAGAACCTGTAGCAGCCGAACCTGGGACTGACACGTTGGTCTGCGTCTCAAATGGTATCCCCAATTCCCTATATATAGTGCACTACTTTTGACCAGGGCCCTCAGGGCTCATTGACCAGGGCTCAGGTCAAAATAAGTGCACTACTGTAGGGAATAGGGTGCCGTTTGGGATGCACCGATGACCATCCTTCAGGAGACGAGAACCTTTAGCTGTAACATGTAACTGACACATCTTCATCCTCCGTCTTCACCCTCCTCATCCTCCTCACCCTCCTCATCCTCCTCCTCTCCCGAAGTGCTACCACTCTATCCTTGATGATTATATTTGGAGAAAACAGGAAACAAAAGTGAGAGAGGTTTTGGAGAAAGAAAGAAAAGCACATTGATATTATGTAATAAGAAGAACCTGAGAGATGGAATCTCTAAGCTACTATCTGACTGTAAAGGTTAAAGGTCGTGAACTTAAGACTGTAAAGGTCACTCTCCTCTCTTGACTGTTGTGCTTCTCTTAGAGTAGACACATGAGAAACGTACATCTACAGTCCTGTTATATGCTCTCCTCCTTCTGGACAGAGATGGCTGCCATTCCTCTGAAGGAAAAACATAGAGGGGCAATGTCTGTTTGCCTTGTGGGTTTGTCGCCACTGTGTGGCCAGCTGAAGTATTGCATTGAAGAAAGACAGGATGAGGTCAGGGTTCGGTTTGAAAGTAAAGCAGCTCAGGGCAAGTCCAGGGCCCTGGCTTTGTCCCAAATGGCACCCTATTCCCTATATAGTGCACTACTTTTGACCAGGGCCCACAGGGAAACACAAAAGGCTTTGGTCAAAAGTAGTGCACTAAATAGGGAATAGAATGCCCTTTGGGATGCATGGCCTGTCTCCGCTGTGGGACTGGAACAGGGAAGAGGTATCTGTCTATCTGTGTGTGTTGAGGATTGGTGGGGACGGATTGGGGGGGTTGGGCTAGGATGGGGGGGGGGGGGGTCTTAGGGAAAGGGACTTAGCTAAGTCCCTTACAGCAGTATTCCTATCAGGGGTTAAATAGAAGAGCAGCTTTCTTACAGGCTGTTGTTGGTGATGAGAGCTTTACTGTAAACGAAAGAAGGGATCTGAAGGGTTAATACTTGGCTCTACCTCTGGATAAAATAAATACAACCCAGGGTATGGCTGAAGTGGCACCCTATTCCCTATGTAGTGTGCTACTTTTGACCAGAGCCCTATTGGACCTATATAGGGGATAGGGTGCTATTTGGGACGCCTTCAGGCTGAAATACCACACAGCTCTGTCTGTCTGTCTGTCTGTCTGTCTGTCTGTCTGTCTGTCTGTCTGTCTGTCTGTCTGTCCACGGTCATCTAATTTATAAACAGGTCAGTTTTATTGTGTTGCTTTTTTATATTTATTATCTCTCTTATTCAGTTCCAGTTTGAGTAACCGACCGTTTCATAGTATTATTATTTTAATATTTCCTTTGCTTATTTTCTTCTTGGTCTTGGTCCCTCCCTCCCTCTGGCAGAGTCTGGTATTTAGGTCCATCCCAGCCCAGGTATGTCATCCTTTAGTCCAGGTATGTTATCCTTTAGTCCAGGTATGTTATCCTTTAGTCCAGGTATGTTATCCTTTAGTCCAGGTATGTTATCCTTTAGTCCAGGTACAGTGAGGGAAAAAAGTATTTGATCCCCTGCTGATTTTGTACGTTTGCCCACTGACAAAGAAATGATCAGTCTATAATTTTAATGGTAGGTTTATTTGAACAGTGAGAGACAGAATAACAACAACAAAATCCTGAAACACGCATGTCAAAAATGTTAGAAATGTATTTGCATTTTAATGAGGGAAATAAGTATTTGACCCCCTCTCAATCAGAAAGATTTCTGGCTCCCAGGTGTCTTTTTATAAAAGGTAAAGAGCTGAGATTAGGAGCACACTCTTAAAGGGAGTGCTCCTAATCTCAGCTTGTTACCTGTATAAAAGACACCTGTCCACAGAAGCAATCAATCAATCAGATTCCAAACTCTCCACCATGGCCAAGACCAAAGAGCTCTCCAAGGATGTCAGGGACAAGATTGTAGACCTACACAAGGCTGGAATGGGCTACAAGACCATCGCCAAGCAGCTTGGTGAGAAGGTGACAACAGTTGATGCGATTATTCGCAAATGGAAGAAACACAAAATAACTGTCAATCTCCCTCGGCCTGGGGCTCCATGCACGATCTCACCTCGTGGAGTTGCAATGATCATGAGAACGGCAAGGAATCAGCCCAGAACTACACGGGAGGATCTTGTCAATGATCTCAAGGCAGCTGGGACCATAGTCACCAAGAAAACAATTGGTAACACACTACGCCGTGAAGGACTGAAATCCTGCAGCGCCCGCAAGGTCCCCCTGCTCAAGAAAGCACATATACAGGCCCGTCTGAAGTTTGCCAATGAACATCTGAATGATTCAGAGGAGAACTGGGTTAAAGTGTTGTGGTCAGATGAGACCAAAATCGAGCTCTTTGGCATCAACTCAACTCGCCGTGTTTGGAGGAGGAGGAATGCTGCCTATGACCCCAAGAACACCATCCCCACCGTCAAACATGGAGGTGGAAACATTAAGCTTTGGGGGTGTTTTTCTACTAAGAGGACAGGACAACTTCACCGCATCAAAGGGACGATGGACGGGGCCATGTACCGTCAAATCTTGGGTGAGAACCTCCTTCCCTCAGCCAGGGCATTGAAAACGGGTTGTGGATGGATATTCCAGCATGACAATGACCCAAAACACACAGTGGAGTGGCTCAAGAAGAAGCACATTAAGGTCCTGGAGTGGCCTAGCCAGTCTCCAGACCTTAATCCCATAACAAATCTGTGGAGGGAGCTGAAGGTTCGAGTTGCCAAACGTCAGCCTCGAAACCTTAATGACTTGGAGAAGATCTGCAAAGAAGAGTGGGACAAAATCCCTCCTGAGATGTGTGCAAACCAGGTGGCCAACTACAAGAAACGTCTGACCTCTGTGATTGCCAACAAGGGTTTTGCCACCAAGTACTAAGTCATGTTTTGCAGAGGGGTCAAATACTTATTTCCCTCATTAAAATGCAAATCAATTTATAACATTTTTGACATGCGTTTTTCTGGATTTTTGTTGTTGTTATTCTGTCTCTCACTGTTCAAATAAACCTACCATTAAAATTATAGACTGATCATGTCTTTGTCAGTGGGCAAACGTACAAAATCAGCAGGGGATCCAGGTATGTCATCCTTTAGTCCAGGTATGTCATCCTTTAGTCCAGGTATGTCATCCTTTAGTCCAGGTATGTCATCCTTTAGTCCAGGTATGTCATCATTTAGTCCAGGTATGTCATCCTTTAGTCCAGATATGTCATCCTTTAGTCCTGGTATGTCATCCTTTAGTCCAGATATGTCATCCTTTAGTCCAGGTATGTCATCCTTTAGTCCAGGTTCTTTAAAGACCCTCCCTCCCTGTGTTACAAACGTTCTCTCATTTTATGATCCTGAAAAGATCAAATATGTCTTTCCTTTTTAATTTGCACTGTAGAAGGTGTATTGAAAGCATTATTTTTTTTATAGTACTTCTTCTTTTCTTCACGTCAAGGGGCGGACTACTCGCCAGACCTGGGTTCAAATAGTATTTGAAATCATTTCAGACACTTTTAGCAGGGCTTGATTGAGCTTGCCTGGCAAAATTGAACAAATAGAATAGTCACAAAACTGCCAATCCCCCCCATGATCTGGAACCCTGATCTGGAACCCTGATCTGGAACTCTGATCTGGAACTCTGATCTGGAACCCTGATCTGGAACTCTGATCTGGAACCCTGATCTGGAACCCCAGGCAGGCTGAAGTAAACGCTCAAAGCATTTGAAAGATTTAGAATACTATTTGAACCCAGGCTACTCTATCTCACCACCGATACACAGTGAACCCTTGTCCTCCATCTTAGCACATTAGTAGAGACTCCTCCTCCTCCACCACCGCTCTCTCTCCCCCCCTCTCCTTCTCTTCCTCTCCTGTGTCCTCCCTCTGTCCCCCAGCCCGCTCACCATGGAGGGAGAGTCAGTCCCCGCAGCCCGCTCACCATGGAGGGAGAGTCAGTCCCCCAGCCCATGGAGGGAGAGTCAGTCCCCCAGCCCCCTCACCATGGAGGGAGAGTCAGTCCCCCAGCCCATGGAGGGAGAGTCAGTCCCCCAGCCCATGGAGGGAGAGTCAGTCTCCCAGCCCCCTCACCATGGAGGGAGAGTCAGTCCCCCAGCCCCCTCACCATGGAGGGAGAGTCAGTCTCCCAGCCCGCTCACCATGGAGGGAGAGTCAGTCTCCCAGCCCGCTCACCATGGAGGGAGAGTCAGTCCCCCAGCCCCCTCACCATGGAGGGAGAGTCAGTCCCCCAGCCCATGGAGGGAGAGTCAGTCCCCCAGCCCATGGAGGGAGAGTCAGTCTCCCAGCCCCCTCACCATGGAGGGAGAGTCAGTCCCCCAGCCCATGGAGGGAGAGTCAGTCCCCCAGCCCATGGAGGGAGAGTCAGTCCCCCAGCCCATGGAGGGAGAGTCAGTCTCCCAGCCCCCTCACCATGGAGGGAGAGTCAGTCTCCCAGCCCGCTCACCATGGAGGGAGAGTCAGTCAGTTGGTTAGGATGTCTCTCTCTGTAGATTGGTTGAACAATGTTTCACTGTATCCATAAACAGTTAATGTGTATTATTTCCCCCCCCCCTCTGCTCTGACATGATGCAGGTCTTTTTTAGTTGAATATCTCTGATAGGGTTGCACATTTCTGGTAACTTTTCCCTAATGTGTAAATAACAGAAGGCCCTCACACTGTTTATGCTCCCAATTCTCCCCTTTATTGACAACGTTTGGATCCGACACAGTGTGCTGGCCTTTTTGTTCTTTATTAGCCCAGCATCAACGTTTTTAAGGATGTGCGTATGACCACAAACTTTTCTATAAACTTTCAGAAAATGCCCAGGTTTTTGAGAAATCCCAGTTGGAAGGTTCCCAAAATCAGGATGGAATAAGAATCAAATCCGGAATCCTCCTATCAGGATTTCTGCAAGACCTGGGGGTTTTGGGGAAATTACCAGAACTTTGCAACCCCACTCTGACTAAAAGCACTACTGTGCTATAATATCTTATCTTTAAGTCTATCTACTGTGCTATAATATCTTTAAGTCTATCTATGCTCTAATTCTACACAAGCACATGAACTGACTTTGATATGGCCAGAATTGTAAAAGCACTTATTACTACACGGAAGTCAGGTACGTTCAACAAACAGTTGGATTACTGACTAAGGTATAGAGATGTATCTTACTGTCTTCTACATTATATTCTGATTCTAGAACCGATTCTATTAGCTTTTATTTGTGTTTCTATGTGTGCTCCCTCGTTCTGGATATTGGCATTATGGAGAAAATTGTCTCCAGAAAAAGTAAAGTCACTCTCCTCCACTCCACAACTGTTAAAAGTTGTGTTGTCGTCTTCTGAGCCCCCGGAGTTCCAAACTCATTCTTATTTATTGAATACCTTTTCTTCATACTCGTATTAATATGGAAAAATATGATAATGAAGAAGACCTTTCTATCAGTCTACTTGGCAGGGCTTTTTAATGTGTTATTGTCCAGAAATACATTGTTCAGGTTAATTAACCCAGATAAATGCTTTGGAGGAATAAAATAGGTTTAGGTGGAAGGAAAAAAACTATTTCAAGATGCCCAAAGAAATGTATTTTTCAAAGCAGCTTGTTAGACATAAGTTAACATCTTCCAAAAAAACGGGAAGTAAAAAGTGTTATCTTAATTTGTTTTAACCTTTTAAAAAGGGGGCATTTGCCTTAAATGAAGTTTCCTAAAGGAAAAGAGCAAATTTGTTTTAGTTTGCAGCGAAACAAACCACCAGAGACAAAGGCTGCTTTCAAAATGGCACCCTATTTCCTACATAGTGCACTACTTTTGACCAGTGCCCTATAGTCCCTAGTTAATAGTAGTGCACTATATTGGGAATAGGGTGCCATTTGGAACAAAGATAAAGGAATTTAATAATCAAAATGTTATAAAACATGGAAAGAAGAATCCACATGAGTCTATAAACGGATCTGGAAGAAGAAGAAATTGAAGTTACTTCCTCTGTGGTGGATGTTATCGGTGTATCCATAAAGAAATGACTTCCTCTGTGGTGGATGTTATCGGTGTATCCATAGAGAAATGACTTCCTCTGTGGTTGATGTTATCGGTGTTTCCATAGGTCTGAGAAATTACTTGTAGAAGAAGAAATATATATATATATTACCCAACAGTATCTTTTTCCTTTGTTGTTGCATGGATGGATATTTTTTTAAGAATTATAATATGACATCTTTATGACAACTTTGAATGTGAGCTATAAAACATTTATTTAAAAAAGAAATGTTTGTGTCGTTTTTTTTGTCTCTTATTTTGTATTTCATTCTTACTGTCTAAAAACAACTGTAACGCGTTTCAAGTGCTAGAGTCTTCTTCAGGCTGCTAGAGTCTTCTTCAGGCTGCTAGAGTCTTCTTCAGGTTGCTAGAGTCTTCTTCAGGCTGCTAGTCTTCTTCGGGCTGCTAGAGTCTTCTTCGCGCTGCTAGAGTCTTCTTCGGGCTGCTAGAGTCTTCTTCAGGCTGCTAGAGTCTTCTTCGGGCTGCTAGAGTCTTCTTCGGGCTGCTAGAGTCTTCTTCGGGCTGCTAGAGTCTTCTTCAGGCTGCTAGAGTCTTCTTCGGGCTGCTAGAGTCTTCTTCGGGCTGCTAGAGTCTTCTTCAGGCTGCTAGAGTCTTCTTCAGGCTGCTAGAGTCTTCTTCGGGCTGCTAGAGTCTTCTTCGGGCTGCTAGAGTCTTCTTCAGGCTGCTAGAGTCTTCTTCAGGTTGCTAGAGTCTTCTTCAGGCTGCTAGAGTCTTCTTCAGGTTGCTAGAGTCTTCTTCAGGCTGCTCGAGTCTTCTTCAGGCTGCTAGAGTCTTCTTCAGGCTGCTAGAGTCTTCTTCGGGCTGCTAGAGTCTTCTTCAGGTTGCTAGAGTCTTCTTCAGGTTGCTAGAGTCTTCTTCAGGCTGCTAGAGTTTTCTTCAGGCTGCCTGAAGAAGACTAGCAGTCAAAATGCGTTGCAGTTGTGCATCCTGATATTTAATATACTATAGGCTGATCTGATCCTATATGTATCCTGATATTAAATATACTATAGGCTGATCTGATCCTTCTATAAGTATTCTGATATGAAATATACCATAGGCTGATCTGATCCTATATGTATCCTGATATTAAATATACCATAGGCTGATCTGATCCTTCTATAAGTATCCTGATTAAGCAATAATACATGAGGCCATATGTACAATTTAATTATTCCACCCAACGATATAGTCCGGACAAAAATCTGGTTGTTAGTTATTTTGGTCATTTTGCTATAGATGCTAAATTAATTATTTTTGCATAGTTGCTATGCAAAAGGACTGGTCATCAGTTCTAAACAAAGTGGTTGGGTTGCTATGCAGGCTTGATAACGTCCTTGTCGCTAGCCAGCTAGCCAACTGCGGCTAACTTAGTCACGTCAAAAATGTAACCTGGAATGACAGGGTTCATTGATCATACAAAAATGGAACTGTGTTGATCTACTTTAGCTAGTTGGCAGTAGACCTTACGTTTTAAGGTTCTGGTTTTTGTAAACCGTTAAATTCCTTAATCCCAGAGAGGGAAAGGCTGGTCCTGGTGTCATACTTTATCTCTTATTTTATTTGACTTTTAATGAACTTGTAGCTGATTTCTGTCAACGCCAGAGGGATACGCAATTTGGTCTAGAGGAAAGCTTTTTTTCTATTTTGTAAAGACTGATGCGGATCTTATTTTTGTACAAGAGACACATTCACACATGCTCGGAAGACAATACTTTTTGGAAAAGTCAATGGGGTGGTGACATATGGTTAGCGCACAGCGGGGGATGCCATTATTTCGCACAATTTTAAAGGCAACGTTTTAGTTTCTAAAGCAGACACTAAAGGACATTGGTTACTGATGGTTATTGATATTGCTGATAGACAATTTATACTGTGTAATATACAGTACCAGTCAAAAGTTTGGACACCTACTCATTCAAGGGTTTTTGTTTTATTTTTACAATTGTTTTCATTGTTGAATAATAGTGAAGACATTAAAACTATTAAATAAATACATTTTAAATTTGAGAGTCTTCAAATAGCCACCTTTTGTCTTGATGACAGCTTTGCACACTCGGGGGAGAAGGGCCTTGGTCAGGGAGGTGACCAAGAACCCGATGGTCACTCTGACAGAGCTCCAGGTTTCCTCTGTGGAGATGGGAGAACCTTCCAGAAGGACAACCATCTCTGCAGCACTCCAACAATCAGGCCTTTATGATAGAGTGGCCAGACGGAAGCCACTCCTCAGTAAAAGGCACATGACAGCCCGCTTGGAGTTTGCCAAAAGGCACCTAAAGACTCTCACCATGAAAAACAAGATTGAACTCTTTGGCCTGAATGCCAAGCGTCACGTCTGGAGGAAACCTGGCACCATCCCTACGGTGAAGCATGGTGGTGGCAGCATCATGCTGTGGGGATGTTTTTCAGCGGCAGGGACTGGAAGACTAGTCAGGATCGAGGGAAAGATGAACGGATCAAAGTACAGAGAGATCCTTGATGAGAACCTGCTCCAGAGCGCTCAGGACCTCAGACTGGGGCGAAGGTTCACCTTCCAACAGGACAACGACCCTAAGCACACAGCCAAGACAACGCAGGAGTGGCTTCGGGACAAGTCTCAGAATGTCCTTGAGTGGCCCAGCCAGAGCCCGGACTTGAACCCGATCAAACATCTCTGGAGAGACCTGAAAATAGCTGTTCAGTAACGCTCCCCATCGTACCTGACAGAGCTTGAGAGGATCTGCAGAGAGGAATGGGAGACAATCCCCAAATACACGTGTGCCAAGCTTGTAGCGTCATACCCAAGAAGACTCAAGGCTGTAATCACTGCCAAAGGTGCTTGAACAAAGTACTGAGTGAAGGATCTGACTACTTTATTTTATTTTAATTTATTTTCTTAGGAAAAAATTCTAAAAAACAGTTTTTGCTTTGTCATTATGGGGTATTGTGTGTAGATTGATGAGGGGGGGAAAAACAATTTCATACATTTTTGAATAAGGCTGTAACCTAACAAGGCACTGTATGTTTGTAAACTTACCATTACAAAGTACCATAATGATTGAGTGTCCATGTAGCTGTAAACCTCCCAATTGTTCTCCACTATTCCACCCGCTAAAACCTCACCCCATCCCAAGTTGGATTGTTGTCCCAGTGACTGGCAGACCACCTCTGCCCACCTGGATCCTAGGGCCTTTTGAGAGATTGGGACCCATCCTTTTCAAAAAAGAATTCAATAAAGTTTGCTGCGAAGATTTTACCACAGAGGAGATCAAATATCACACAGTTAAAAAATAACAAATCCCCTGGTAGTAACCTCTGAACTCTATTACAATTTTGGGGGATCTCATAGCAGAATTCTTCCTTGCCACATATAAGGAAGATATAGAAAAATAAGCTCATTGAAACGTATTTATTGTTATAACTCTTATC